ACACACACACACACATATGCAAACACATACACGCGTGTTGGCTGCGTTCGCCATTTCAGGCGGAGAATGCGCAGTTGCGCCAACAGCTTCAACAGCAGGCTGATGTTGATGACCTCAGACACCAGGTGTGCGAAGGGCGTACTTTCAACGCTTGTGGATGTTTGTGTGTGTGTGTGTGTGTGTGTGTGTGTGTGTGCGTGTGTGCGTGTGTGTGTGTGTGTGTGTGTGTGTGTGTGCGTTGCAAGCAGGCATATTTGAAAGCTTCCAGCCCCTCATGCCATGTCATGCCACCGCCTTGTGCAACGTATGGTCGTAGGTCGCTGCATATGAACAAGAGATTGCACAGCTGCGGCAGGAGTTGCAGTCAAGCAACAACGAACGAGCCCAAGCAGAGGCAAAGGCAGCAGAGAAGACGGATGACGACTCAACGCTGCAGGCGAAACTCAAGTACAGATATTGAAGTGCTGTCATCACACTCACTCACTCACTCACTCACTCACTCACTCATTTGAGTTAACCTAATTCATGCACTCGCTTACATACACACCACACTCACCATGACAGCGCGGAGGTGGCTGCCCTTGAGGCGCAGGTGGCGGCGGCGCAGGAAGAAGCGACGAAGCAGCTAGCAGCAGAACGAGCAATGCGTGAGGAGATGGAGCAAGCGCTCACATCTGCAGTGCACAGCGGCAATGATGAAGCACTGCCCGCTGCCGCTGCCCTTGAGGTACAAATCCCTGTCATTCTGACCCTGGCAAGGGCGGTAGTGGTCACTGTTGTGTGCAGTGAAGGCACGCGGGCGTACGTTCTTTTGAGCACATACATACGCTTACAATCACACACACGCACACACATTTACACACCCATATTCACACACACACATATTCACACGCACACCAACGACCCACCACCACCGTCAACCAGCGTGCTGCGTCCGCCCGTGACGCGATGGTGCGTGACTTGTCTGCGCAGGTGTTTGCGCTGCGCCGCGCGTGTGTCGAGAAGGAGCGGCTGCGGTTTTCAGAGCAGAGCAGCGACTCGCCCGAGGCGAAGGAAATCCAGGCCATGCTCGACGAGAAGCTGAAGCTGGCGGTATGTGGTATTGGTGGCGGTGGTGGCGGTGATGGTGGCCGAGTCATGTGATCGATTGTTCGTGTTGTTTGATTGTTGATGTTGTTTGCCATGTTGTTGTTTTGTTCAGTGTTTTCCACGAGATGGTGGCATCCGATATGGCAGCTGTGATGTGGGACAGATGAGTGCTGTTTGTTGTGCTTGTTTGGACGCGCACACCACACTTGTCTCACATTCAACATTTACATACGCACATACAATGCACGCGCAAACACACACACACACATGCAACACACATGCATTCATGCGCACAACCCGTTCCCCTGCATTCGACATTGCAGGGCGAGGTGCAGACGTTGACTGCGCGCGTGTACGAGCTGGAGACGGAGCAGGAGGCGACAACACGATCACGCATGGCCATGAGCCCGGCGTCCCACGTCGCATCGGTGTTTGGGGACGCGTCAGCGCGCAACTCACCCGCACTCTTCCGCCGCGCGAACAACGACCGTGAAGGCGACAGCGACACGGGCGCCAGCAGCGACGTGGTTGGGCCAACGGCGGCTGTGCCTGCAGGCACAAATGGTGATGGCGGTGGCACCTTGACGCAGCTCTTCAGCATCATCCAGTGCAGTCTTGTTCTTGCTGTGGAAGTGGAGAAGGCGGATGAACCGCTGGGCATGGCCCTTCGGTCGTCACGGTTCGGGTCAGACTCCAACGCCCTGTCGGTGATTGCTGTTCGCGGCGTCACGCCAAACGCGGCCGCACACCGGGCCGGCATTGAGAGCGGCGACCTGGTGGGTGGCGTTGTTTGTTTGTTTGTTTGTTTGTTTGTTTGTTTGTTTGTGTGTGTTTGTTTGTTGTGTGTGTTTGTGTTTGTTTGTTTGTTTGTTTGTGTTTGTGTGTGTTTGTTGTGTTTGTTTGTTTGTTTGTGCGTGTGTGTACATTAGTGTGTGTGTGTGTGTGTACGTTAGTGTGTGTGTGTATGTTTGTCTGTCCGTCTTGTGTGTGTGTGTGTTACTGTGTGCGTATGTCCATATGTCCGTGTCTGTATCTGTGTATTCATCCATCAGGTACACTGCCGCGCACACGGCGTACAAATTGCAAACACCTTTCCCCTTTCCCTCGCCCCCCCCCCCCCTCACCACAACCCAACCTGCACACCCCACAGCTGTTGCAGATTGACGACGTGTATCTGGTCGACGCCACGAAGCGACAGGCCGTGGCCGCGGTGCAGGCAGCCGGCGACCGCGTGCGTATTGTGCTCGCCCGTCCCGGTGGGCTTGACGTCGCATCCAGGAAGGCAAGTGCACCGCCGACCGCAACCGCAACGACCACGACCACAACAGCCGATGTTACGATGGGTGCCGCTGGTGGCACCAGCGATGGTGATGGCGATGGTGCTGTTCCCTCGGCGGGCAGTGGCAGTGCGCTGAACGACGACGCGGAACAGCTGTTGCAGCGGCTGCGGGAGAAGGAACGGGAGACAGAGAGCCTTCGTGCGCGCCAGAAGTCGCTGTTGAAGCAGCACGACGAGCACGTGGCCGCACTGCAGCGGTACGAGAGAGAGCGCGATGCTGTGCTGAGAAAGGCAGCCAGCACCCGTGCCCGCCTCAGCCGCAGCAGTGGCAGCGACAGCACGTCGCACATCACGACCGCCACGAGTGCTGTGAACACACCGTCACCGCCGCCCAACAAGGGCGATGAGGGAGAGGCAGGAGAAGAGCACGAAGAAGAAGAAGAGGATTTCCAGTCCCGGGTGTTTGGCGTGCTGGAGACATCGCAGCAGAATGCAGTGGAGGTTGAGCGACTGCGCGGTGAGGTGGAGCGGCTCAAGGCGAGTGTGCAGGAGTACAGCGACGCGCTGGCGAGTGCACAGGCGACGCTGGCAAAGGAGAAGGAACTACACACGTCCGCATCCGACACGCGCGCGCGGGAAGAGCAGCTGCGACGTGACCTCGCTGCAAAGACGATGGAGTTGGATGTGCTCAAGGGGACAGCGGCCGCGATTGAGGAGTCGCTGCAGGAGGCGCACAGCACCATCAGCGGTCTGCGCACAGAGAACTTGCAGCTGCACGAAAAGCTCAACAGCGAGGGCGGCTCCCCGAAACAGGTGTGTGTTTTTGTGTGTGTGTCGTTGTGTGTGTCGTTGTGTGTCTGTGTGTCTGTGTGTCTGTGCGTGTGTCTGTGTGTCTGTGCGTCCGTGTGTGCGTGTTTTTGTGTGTGTGTGTCGTTGTGTGTGTCGTTGTGTGTGTGTGTGTGTGTGTGTGTGTGTGTGTGTGTGTGAGAGTGTGTGTTTTTGTGTCGGTGTGTCGGTGTATCTGTGTGTGTCTGTGTGTCTATCTGTGTGTCTGTGTCTGTGCGTCTGTGCGTCTGTGTGTGTGTGTGTGTGTGTGTGTGCGTCTGTGTGTCTGTGTCTGTGTGTACCTGTGTCTGTGTGTCTGTGTGTGCGAAACCACATTTCGCTCCCCGTTCGCCCATGCTTGGGATTCATTGGCCACACGCTTTCCTCCCCCCCCCCCTTTTTTTTCTTATCAATCCCACGCTTCCCCCCCCCCCCTTCCACCCAACACGCACGCACGAATTGCAGACGGCCAAGCTGAAGGAGGTGATGGCGAAACACAACCAGGAGAAGGCCAAGTACCGGTCCCAGCTCGATGCCATGAAGAAGAAGGTGAAGGAGGCAGAGGCACGCCAACGCGGCGACACCAAGCGGCTGCAAGGCGAACTGACACGCCTGCAGAAGGCGCTGGCTGATGAGGAGGGGCGGGCGGCGCAGTTGGAGGAGAAGGCACGCGAGTTGCAGCAAGAGCGCGACGAGCTGCAGTCACGCGTGCACAAGCTGGAGACAGACGCATCGACGCTCACGGCGCAAGCTAAGGAGGCGGCAGATGTGCAGCAGCGCACAGAGGCCGCGATGAACACGTCCATTGGTAGTCTGGACCGCGACCTGCAGGCAAAGACGGCAGAGGCGGAGCGGCTGCGAGCGCGTGTGCAGGAGCTGGAGAAGCAGGTGGGGCAGCAGCGCAGCAAGCTCGACGGGCGTGCAGCCGACTTTGAGACGGGGAAGAAGGAGTACAGGGAGGAGATGAACGCGCGTGTTGCGGGTGCGGAGGCGGCGGCGACAGAGGCACGGCGGGAACGCGACAAGTCTCTACAGGAGCTGGCGCAGCTGCGAGCTGAACTGCAGGCGAAGGACTCACTGGTGTCATCACTACAAGAGGAGCGCCATCAGTTGCTGCAGCAGGTGCAGCCCGGTGCAACAGCACGCCGTGGTGATGGTGGTGATGATGGTGGCCACAGCGGCCAGGCGAAGAACGGCAACGGGAAGCCAGCGTCATCAGAGGTGAGCGTTTGTACGTGTGTGTGTATCTGTTGTATGTGTGTTGTGTGTGCGAGTGTGTGTGTGTATGTGGTGTGTGTGTGTGTATGTGTGTGTGCGTGTGTGTGTGTGTGTAGGAAAGAGTTGTGACTTGAGACTTCATCGTGTATTCATGCACCTGTCTCACACTCGCGTTCTCACAATGCACTCGCTCCCTCTGCCACCTCTCTGTCCATTTTGTTTCTTGCTTGTGCAGCTGTGGGACATTGTGTGCAGCAAGAGCAAAGAGGAGGTGCTGAAGATGCTTGAGGACCGCGACGAGGAAGCGGAGCGGCTGCGCACGTACATCGAAGGCCTTATGGAGGTCATCATCGACAAGTCGCCAGACATCCTGGAGCACGTCAACAAGCTCAACGTCTCGGTACGCGTGCGTGGCAGGGTGTTGTCGAATCCACCATGCTGTGTGCATTGTGCTGCGTGGCTTGCTGTCTCGCTACACTGTCGGTGTGCTCACTCACTCATGAATAGTACTCACACGTGTTTGACGACTTTGCACGACCTTGTACGTGACAGCAACACGGCTTTGTTGGGTCGCTGCGTCGCTCACACCGCCGATCCATGCGCTCCAAGAAGGACAAGAACGGCGATGGCACCGATGGCAAAACCTGACAAGCCGTCGTCTGTTTCCTGAGCGGTCGGCCGCGTTGTCGTAGGCGTAGGGGAAATGATGTTTCTGTTTTGTTGTGTTGCGAGAGCGATGTGTGCGTGTGCGTGTGTGTGTGTGTGTGTGTGTGCGGTAGTGCGTATGCTGCTGATAGGGCAGGCGCAGACGCGGGGCTGGGGGCGGGGAGCTGTGCGCACTTCGTTATCCGAGTGTGGGAAGGGACGAGGTGGTCAAACCCGGTTACGACACCATAAAAGTTTTGGATGTAACGGCTGGCAGATATCGCACCAACAACAAACAAAGCAAACCGTGATGAGTTTGAAGAAGGTGTCGCTTGCCAAGCTCAAGAAGACGCTGCGTGGGCCTCAGGACCCATTCAGAGTTGAGAAGAACGTCGAAACACTGGTGCGTGTGCGTGTGTGTGTGTGTGTGTGTGTGTGTGTGTTGTGTGTGTTGTGTGTGTATTTGCTGTGTGTGTATGTGTTTGTGTATGTGTGTGTGTGTGTTTGCTTGTTTTGTGTGTCTGTGTGCGTCTGCACTTGCATCTGCACTTGTATCTGCACTTGTGTTTGCACCTGTGTCTGTCTGCAATCCTCTGTGTGTCTGCATGCATACAGTTGTACGCGTGCACGAGGCCTTGTTCTCTCCCTCACTGTTCGTTCACACGTCCTCTTTTCACGCTCACACAATGTTTTTGGACGCTGCTTGGACAGGTGTACTTGGAATGCATCGTGTACCTGCGAGAACTGGCGAAACAAGCAACGGTGGAAGCACAACGCTCTCGCATGAAGGTTGGTGCATGCTGCTGGCACAGCGTGTGCACACCTGGCCACAGCTTGATTTGTGAAGGACCACGATGTTCTTCTCCGCCATGCGAATCGCTCTTGCACTCACAACAACAACGCACGTGCACAACACATACACACACACGCATACACATAAACACGCTGTTTTCGAATTCGATAGACGATCCAATCCGCACACATCGCAAAGGCTGCCAAGGTGCGTTTCTCACACACGCACAGAACACGCTGCTCTCCCTAACACACGTTGCATACTTCAGCAATACCCCCCCCCCACACACACACACACTATTCACTCCTGTTCCTCTTCAGCACCAGTCTTTTGATTCGTTCATTGTCTGTGAACAACCACAGTATGCATGCACAACAACCCATATCAACAACAACACAATGGGCAAATGCCCTTGCTAGCAACACAAACAAGCAAACACACACACAGGTCACAACAGCACACGCCAAAAAGGTCGGCGTGAGCACATCTCACATGACTAATCCACCCTGTACACACGTGCACGCATGCACTGCTGACGCGCAACAAACACCATTAGGCAATCGAGGCCAAGCTGTCCGTGGACTGACGGGCGTGTGGGAGATCACACACACACGCGCGCATAGCACACCACGGCGCACCCGGCAAGAAAACGCACAACGAAGCAAGCAGCTTGACTACGTACGCTGCTGCTAATGAACATGATGATGATGATGATGATGATGATGATGATGATGACGACGACGACGAACAACGGGTATTAGGAGCAAGCGAACGAGATTCCAACAGGCTGGGCGTGATTAGACGAAGCACGCGAACAAGCCAAACAACCGCTTGAGCGCCTGTATGTCCTTTGAACGACCTTGAACCCCCCCCGCCCCACACACACCCACACACACACTCTCTCTCTCTCCTTCCTGTAAGCGTATAATGTGATTCTCTCACTGCCCTGCCCCCGTAAGTAAACGACCACATGTGATGCCATGTCACGCAGCCGTCACTTCCTCCTCATGCTTGCTCGCGCTGACGACGATGACGACGGGGGCCTTGGTGCGGCTTCTTGGGTCGTGTGCACCGTCGTGATGAACGCATGCTTGTCCTCGGGCACCCGGAACTGCACAGTTGTGTGTGTGTGTGTGTGTGTGTGTGTGTGTGTGTGTGTGTGTGTGAACACTCGAATGCAACCTTCTTGATACTCAATCACAACAACAGCAGCAACAAACTGGCAACAACAACTCCATCCCACCACACACCACCATGTCCCACCTTGATGACAAAACTGGAACGGCTAAACACGCTGCCGCGCCGGCTGAGGCGGAACGAACCGCTGCGTGAAATGCCCTTTGATCGCCCGCCAGTCATGTCCAGATTCTGCAGCAGCACGCACGTGTCCCCATGCGCTGTGGTGTGTGTGTGTGTGTGTGTACGTATGTGTGTGTGTGTGTGTGTGTGTGTGTAGTTGTGTGTACGTATGTGTGTAGTGTGTGTGTGTGGTGTGTGTGTGTGTCCCCCAATGGTGGTGGTGGTGTTCCGTGGGGTGGTGTTCCATAGGTGGTGGTGGGGTGAAAAAATTTGAAAAAAAAGCGTTTCAAACACCGCGGCGTGGTTTGAACCACACCAATAGGGCGTTGAATTTTCCTCTGGTTTTGGAGAAGGCCCCCCGTCAAAACTTTTTTTGTTTTAAAGAAACAAGGGAAAATTGAAAAA